AGCCTGAGAGGGTGGGTTCTGACCTCCATTGGTGTAGAGGCTCTGATCTCAGCAGACTGCCAGAGAATGCTGAGTTCTGCCCTCCCTTTGGCCCCCCTCAGGCAGAGGGCTGAGAACGCAGGGGACTGCTTGAGAGTCCCCAATCCTGCCTCCACGTGGTGGTCCTTTTAATAAGATGATGTTATACACTAGTCCCTTCTGCAGATTACCATCATCACGACTTCAGCTGAGCCTGATTGCTAAATATCATCACAATTGAGCTTATTGATGGTTGTGCTCATTCATTAAAGAGGAGCCAAGCAGGGTCATTGGACCCTCACAGGAGTATCCAGCCACTCTTCCCAGCCAAATGTATGTAATTTGACCCTAATAACATATGGCCTCCTGGATCTGGAGAAAGCTAGGAAGTAAAGGCATGACCCATGCTGGGTTAAGGCTTTCCAGTGTGCTTACCCACAGGTCAGACACACACCTCAGCAATCCCTCAGTTATCTGGTAAGTAAGCTCAATAATTTCAGTGGTTCCCCAGAAAAACTTTAGTCAAACATTGGCTTGACACTAGAACCTTAAAAGGGAATAAGCATTGCTTCACATCCGCAGAAAAAGAAGTCTCACAACAGATGGAAAATTTATTTGTTAATGCTATTATGTCTCATAATTATTAAAAAAAAGAAAATGAGAATGTAAAAGATGTTAAAATGATATGGGAATGGAGATATTTTCCAAAAGAGACAGAAAAAAATGAGAAAGCGTAAGCAAGTGATGAAGTTCTGTTTAGGTTTGTTATGATATATAAAGGATTAACCAAAAATAATATATACATAATCTTAAAATTTCTATGGTCATAGTTTAGTCAATTAGTTTAAGGAACAAAGTATATATCTAGTCAAGGTTTATGTGAGAATATTTGGTTTTTTATCCAAGCCTTATCTACACAGCACATGATAATTAAAAGTACCAGACTGGTGGAAATAACATTATTGAATGTTTAAAAGCCATAGTTTTGAGTCCTATACTGATGTGGTCAGAGGGACTTAAAGGACAGCTTTTGCCAGTTCACCTCCAAGGTCGAATAAGTTCCAGGGGACTATGGAACATCTCCCAAAATGTCCTGTAACTGTGGTGTGTCACCTGTCCTCTTGTTCAGTGAGGACATGGAAACCCAACTAGATGCACTTGAACCAGTATCCAGTCTACAAAGAGGAGGGTCAAGTCAGAGGAAACATCTCATTCACGCTTCCAGTTAAGCCAGACATGGTCGAACGTGACCTTTGACTTATCTTCACATAGATGGAACTGGTAAAAGGAAGGAGCCAGGAGCTCTTCCCAAGCTCATTTGACCCCTGAGGAACAGATCCTCAAATTATCTTAAGTGTAAAAAATAAATTGATTTATTTGGGACAACTGCATAGTCTTGAACACCTAAAAGGAAAGTATAACCAAAGAGTACAGTCATCAGTATATTTCTTTAAGAGTTCAAAGGATTATACTTCCCAGACATTAAGCTTAAGTCTATATAAAAAGTTGTTTAGACAATTATTTCTCATTGATGATTTTGTTCCTAACCTGAAAGTGCTGCTCAGATGTAAGACTTCAAATCTTGGTTTCCAACACTGTAATGCCCACCTGTAGCTAAAGGAGACAACCTGCTATTGTTCTAAAATGATGGATAAATTTGTTTTCTCCCCCTATCTAGAAGGGAACTGACACTGATTCTAACTACTCCAACAGCTATCAAAATACCTGAAAGTAAATCGTGAATCCATCACTCTAGAGGTGAGTCTTGGCAGCCAAAAGAAAAATGAGGAGGAACTCAATAGAGGGATGCTTTTGGAAGCCCTTGTCAAGAAACAACAATGGACTTTCATGAACATTTGAAATTTGTCCTGTTCAGACTTTTTTCTAGTTCTCTGTCTAGAACCAGTAATGGCAATTACTCTTGCCTTTCCTTCTCCTTCACATTTCCTATTCATGATTCAAAGACTTTCTTTTCCTCCTTGAGATAAGAGTTATGCAATTTGGGAGTCTTTTAGATAGACCCAATGAAGGGGTACTCCAATTGCCACACCCTGCTTCCCTGCTCAGGATGGAAGAAGCCATCCCGATTCCCTTTTGGCAATTTGGGTAACCTCTTCAGAGTATGGTGTGATAAGAATAGGAGGTAGGAATTGGCTAGGCAGTTAGGGTAAATGACCACAAAGAAAAGTAGCCAGTTTCTTGGCTAAAACTAAAAATGTTGGGCCTCTCAGCAACCTACTATGTTCCAAAGGCCAAAAATGTAGAAAATATTCAGGAGCTTTTATCTAATCCTTAAACAATTTTAGGATTACTTCTTCAGAAGGGGGAATGTTAGAGTATCCAAAAGCCCAATAAAAATTAAATCAACAAAGAAGAAAGAGTACATGAAGTTATCAGAAAAAAAGTGATGGGGAGATATGGGAGGAGTTGGAGGGGAGGGAATGGGCATGGATTTGATCAAAACACCTTGTATGTATGTATGAGATTCTCAGTAAAGTATTTATTTTAAAAAAATAAAAGAAAGAAAGAAACAATGCCAGACAGGAGATGCCTTCCTTTGAGTTGTTGGCCAGGGTGGCCCAAGAGATTCCCAGACAGTAACCCAGCATCGAACTGGGAAAATGAACAGCAGACCCCAGGCTTACCTAAAGGAATATTGACAACTGATTGCTGCTAGACAAGGAACAGCTGATCTTCCTAAAACAACTCTAGATTGGCTGACTAGATTCAGTGGATGGACAAGCACTGGGGAATGACTGGGGGCGTCAACAACACAGTGGACAGTAACAGGGATGAGAGAGTATATGGGCTCCAGTGGGGTGGGGGGGGTGCTATGGGAAGGTGCCATTTGGGAGGTGGGTATATAGATGTATTAGGTTGTTTGTGGTGTTTTGTATGATACACACACACACACACACAAAATCAACAAATAAAAAAATGATTTGTATTTGAAAAAATAGAAAAAAAAAGAGATTCAAAGGAGGTACCCTGTAAGAGGGGGTATTGGCCCTACCAGATACTGTCGACTAGCAAATAAAAAGCTCGATGCCACGAATGAACTTACACTTTTAAAACTGTTTATCAGGGGTCCCATAGACTCTCAAAGACTACTGGTCATTACCCCTCCTCCTGGTTACCCAATAGAACATCATGGTAAGACCTAATTGCTGAAGACACTACATACATGAACTTTAGAACAAACATCAAGCTGGTACTGAGTTCAAAGCCTCATCTCTACTGGCTAGCTTTCATACTGCTGGAAGATGCTATGCATGCCACTAGTAAGAGAAAAATCACCAGCTTTACCAAGCTATGAATCCTGTAAGCTACAACAAAAACAGACCTGGGAAGATACACCCACCAGTCCAATGATGACAAGAATATTATAGGAGAACCAACCACTTTCCAATTTTTATAGTATTTTTTTCATTTTAGTATTTTTATTGAGTTTTTGTGCTCTTCATTTAATATATCTTGAACAAATTTATACTCCCTCCTCCCTCCCTGTCCACCATAGCCCTCACCAGATTGCAGGTGTTCTGTCATATATGTTAAGTCTTATCTCAGCTATCCTGGTGTCTTTTAGTGCAAGTTCATCGACTGGAGTCGAGTCAACTTGTTTAGAGTCACTAACTTAAAGAAGATCAGTTCTCCCTTGCTCAGCAGCAATCAGGTGCCAATAGTTTCTTGGCAAAGGTTGGGGCTTGCTATTTCCCTGGTTCTATGATGGGCATACCACTAATCAAAGAAGTTTCTTTTTGCAACAGATGGAGGCTATTACAGAATCCCACAACTGGCCACACACAGAGAATATGTTTAAGAGATGCCCATCCTTAAGTGACACATCTACAGTGGAACCTCTACAACTAAGGCTCATGGATCATAGTGGAACAGGGGGTAGAGCGAATACTAATAAATGCCTCAAATCTCACCAGCAAAGCTTCCTCATACAACATAATGTGATGCACACAGAAGGTCACAACTGGCTAAGTTTTAGAAAATCAGAGTCTGACAGAGTTTGTGTCCCTGGATAGAAGTCCTATATTAAACCTCATCTGTCCACTGCTCAGGTATCATTGCCTTCAAGTCACTGGAAATTTGTTTATATGAAATTGCAGCAGTGCCGACAGAATGCAAAAGACTCATGCAGACTCAATCACTTTCCAATTTGATTTAAGGTCTGCTTCAAAGGATAAACCCTGTTCATGAGACTGATACAGCCTTAAGAACTTGAAGATAGCCTAATACTATTTTTCTACTAAATAAGTATTGTATTCAATTGACCCCTAATCACCAATTGTTAAGTCCATACATGAACGTATCTCTCAACTCTCACCAGAGAAGCTTTCTCATGCAGCAGATGGTGACTAACATAGAAATCAACACTGACCAAAGTGCATAGAACAAGAGGCTGCATAGTGCTTACTCCTGTATATGACACATATGTCTATTCATCTTTATACAAAATTTTTACAACATACTCAAACCTTTAAAAGGTATGGCTAAACAAAATTTAAAAACACTAAACTTTTCAAGCACATAAAGATCATGCTGTTAAAGACAAATTTTGCTTTTATACCCACCTTAGTGGAACTTTCCCCATCTTTTCATACCTGAATTTATTTCACAAACTAATTAACTTGTGCTCTACTTACAATATTAACCTTAGTGATTGACAATTATCTAAATCAGTTTTTAAACATTGCAATATAAGCCAGAAGTGACAAAAAGACCATATTAAGTAAATGTTCTGAATGTGTTAGACGAAAGAGACTCAGTACTAAATGGAGAAATGTGGGTTAAATCCTCAGGATACTCAGATACAGAAGGGAGAGCAGGAGCAGGTCAATTTCCACCTAGCTAGCAATCTCCAGGGCTTCCATTCTATCATCATTACTAGCCTTGATGAATATTTCAGTTCATTTATTTCACAAAGTGCCAGACCTGAGAAAAACCTACGAGATTTTGTTTGAGGTACTCACATGTTCTTAAGCCGTTTTCAGAATGGGAATAGCTCCTATCAGCATCGTAATCACTGCTACTCACATGACGACTGTCATAAGGAAATGGGGAAATAACATCAACAAGACAAAACAAAATATTCAAATACAATTCTCAATTTTTATTAATTATTATGTGTCTCTGACATTTATGATGACCAAAATATGACATGAAAAGATTACAGATAATATTTCATATATCATTTGATTTTTCCATCATTTTAGATACTAAAAATTACTAAAATACAATACCAATTGTTCATATCTCAACCATTCTTTATAACATTTCCATTGTATATTAAAATAGACTGGAAAATTACTTGGCTATCTTTTAAAACTAAACAGAATCTCTTTCTGAAACTTTTAGAGCCAGGGACTGGAGAGACGGTTCAGCAGTTAAGAGCACTGGCTGCTATTGTAGAGGATATGGGTTTAATTCTCCGCACCCACATGGCAGCTAACAACCTTCTGTAACTCCAATTCCAGGGGATCTGATGCTCTCTTCTGACTTTCATGGCCATTGCATGACACACGTGCACTTACATAAATGCAGCAATATAATCATACACATAAAATAAAATTTAACTATAAAAAATTATAAAGTTTTAGAACCAGGTGTCTTGAAAAAAAATAACTAAAATTATTTCCATGTTTGTGTCTTTCATACAAATGTAGGTGACATCAGCAGAATTTAAATTTCTGCTTGTATTTCTGGAAATGATAGAAGCAACAGTCTCCACTGACAGGTTTCTGGTACTCCAGACACATTAATTTCACCCATATTACTCCTCTGTAATTATTAATTATTACTATGATCAAAAAGCTGACAATGCCACTAAATACTCTGTTCTCTTATATTCCATTTGAATAATCATAACATTTTCTTATCATCACATTTTGATGTTATTTATTTCTTCTTATTATTATTATGTGCTTTAATTCCACAAACAGACATTTAAGTACTGTAATAACTTTCTGATAGGAAGTAAGGAAAATTTCATATTTAATGTAATTTGAGCATTGGTTTGACATTTTAAACCATTTGTAGGTATAATTGTTTTGGTATTTTCACATGTAAAATGAAGGCCATACACAAACAGGAAAGAATGATGAGTGTGTCTTATTTTTCCATATATGGGTTCCATTGTCATCCCTTTGATGATGGAGCTCTGAGCAAAATGACTAATTAAAACCCACAGAAAATCTATGATTTTGTTTTGTTCAATATTTGCAATCTCTAGTCTTTCAATCATTTTTATCATGGCACATAGAAAAGTATATGGATCTGGGCTTCATATCTTTTTTCTTTTGTGTAGCTTGTCAGTAACCAGCAATGAAAAACATTTGGAGAAATCTGAAAGTTCTCTCATTTCCTACAAAGGGTCTCAAACTGAGATGAGATAAGATCCCCTACTGCTCAAGGCAATGACAGAAAAGTTTGTGGATTTAGGAATTTGTCTTAGATTTTCATTATTACTAGAAAATCTGAAAATAATTTAGCTAAAATTGTATGGTTTGAAAAAAAACCTGTTACACTTAACGTTCTTTAGTTTAGAAATTCAGTGACAAACTCAACTTATTTGTAAAACTAGTACCATAGCACCCCAAATATAGAAACCAATGCATTGCCTTTATCTTTTCATTGCTCGCTGCACCTTAGCCTGTGTTACCACTTTTCTAGATATTCATTGATAACTGCTGAAGTGTTATAAGGAAGACATGTTAAAATCTTTCAAGTCATGGCTAGGCATGGAAGCTCACACTTTTACTCACAGGACTTGGGAAACCAGGGTGAGGGGAATCTCTGTGAGTTTGAGAACAATCTGGTCTACACAGTGAGTTCAGGTCAGCCTGAACAGCCTAGAACTTGCTAGTCTACATAGCAAGTTCAAGGAGAGCTATAGCTACATAGTGAGACCCTATCTTAATAAATGAATGCATAAATACATAAATTAAAATAAAATCCTTGTAGTCCTGGGGAAAACAGTATAAAAAGAGACCAAAGAATAAATTATATAAAAACTCGACATCAAATAATATATTTTGTTAATCTCAGTGAATTAGAGCCAGAGAGAGGAAATTATTTTTTAAATAGGAAATGGTGACATTTTTTCCTCTTCAGTAGTGGTATGAAACACTTCTCAACCTAGATTGGTCAATATGCCACTGAGTTGGTTACCTTCAAGGCTTGTGTAAGTAACTCCAAGGTCATATCCTAATTAAAGCTTTGGAAAAAGGATCGCCAAGATCTGTAAAACAGTCCTCATGGAGTAGCTCCAGGGTAGGCATTCAAGGGTCAACCGAATAGCAAATTATCAAATTCAAGTCCAGCTTTAACACATCATGAGATGATATGTGAGCAAATCAAGTTTTGGTTCATTCACTTTTCTACATGTTTAGATGTTTCTCAAAAATAGTCTCAGCAACCATATGAAAGGCCTATGAGGACTCAGCAGGCAGGCAATCATCTATAACCAGGAAGCTAACCTCAGTAGACATCAAAAGTTCCAGTGCCTTAATGTTAGACTTCGCAACTTCCAGAATAGTGACATATAAATGTTGGTTGTATAATCAAACCAATCTATGGTATTTTTTTCTATAGGTACCTTAACGTTCTAAAACATTTAGCCAATTCTATACTCCTACTTATTCAGTATAGTAGAAAGAAAAATATTAAAATCGTTTCTCTCCAATATCTAGTTTTATTGAGTTTTTAGTAAGAGCCAGAGTCTAGAAACTATCTCCAATAGGGTCTGTTTTCACTTATATAGCTATTTTGTTCCTGTTATGAATTAGTGATGAATGATGAGGATTCTAAATTCATGGACCTTGTAGAAAGTCTGCAATGAAATGAAGTCTAAAACTGCAATTCAGAATGTACATCACTTGAGCACCTATTTTTTTTTCTTTTTCAGACAGGATCACCATTTGGCCCCAGCTGACCTGGAAATCATTATGTAGACTATGTAGAACTCACTATGGCCTCAGTCTCACAGACATCTGCCTGCCTCTGCCTCCTGAGTGCTGGAAGCACCACGCCCAGCCATTGAGTACCCTTTTCAACCTTAATTCATGCGCAACCCTTATACTCCATATATAGAATCATATTTCTTGCATTTTCCTTTGCTTGCTCCTAACTATTGCTTCTGCAATTCCCTCTTCTCTTGCTCTTTAGGATTCTATGAAAATTTTCACACTCCCTGAGCTTCTGGTCATAACGATCATACTCATCATTTCACACATTATATCAGACCCCAATTTTTATGTGGAAAGTAAAAATACCAGAATAAAGTATGTGAATGATGTTCTCTATTACACCTAGGTAATATTACTTAAACAAGCAGACCACAAAGTACTTCTGTCTATATAATATTTATAATCAATGCATTGTGCTCTGTAAACATGCCCCCTCTTATAGACCTTTGTTTACTTCTCTACTACATGACTTGCTCCTTGAGGGCGACATATATAACTGACTTATCTCTCCAATTCAAAACTACTGAGAGAACTGCTGAGGGTACAGTTTTTTAAGAATTTGTGAAGTGAATAAATAACTCAGCATTGCTGGAAGGAAATAGCAAGTCATATCTCTATAAAGAGTAATTGAAAATGTACTCATTTCACAGCACAGCCTTTATAGTAATCAGTGCCTGTATTTTGGTCCAAATCAGCTTTTTGTACTAATCCTTCTCTAATAATTCCTTTAGATTTAACTAGAGTAAGAAATTTTCAGGTTACGTGCACAGCAACACACTCACTCAGACACATGCAAATATATAATAATGATATTACTTTTAAAAAATTTAAGTGCCTTTGCTGTGTTTATGGTTCATATTCTCATAAGTAAAATGTGTGATAACTCATAGTTTTATAATTCATGTAACTTCAAAGTGCTTTAAAAGGTTGCATTACTTGAAACTACATGGATAAAAAAATTTTTTGTGAAAAAATTCCTCAATAAGTCTTAAAAATAACACTTAAGGGGCTGTGGAAATGGCTCAGTGATTAAGATCACTGGCTGCTCTTGCAGAACACCTGGGTTCTGTTCCCAGCACCCATACTGCAGCTAACAACCAGCCATAACTCCAGTTCCAGGGACTCCAATGATCACTTCTGGCCTCCATAGTCATTGCACCCACATAGTGCACTTACATACATGCAGGAAAAACACTCACACATATAAGACAAAAATAATAAATAAGTAAATAAATAGAAATGACACTTAAGTCTGGTATCATGTCACATGTTTTTAATTCCAGTACCTCAGGACTTAGGATGCAGAGGCACACAGCTAACACTCTTGTGAGTTCAAGGCCAGCATGATCTACCCCGTGAGCTCAAGGCCAGTCAGAGAAACATAGTGAGACTGTCTCAAAAACTCAAAAACAGAAAAAATATATAAATAAAAACAAAAAAATCCAACTTAAAAAGAACATACAGACCAGACGTGGAGGATCAGGACTTTAATCTCAGCACTCAGAGGGCATAAGCAGGTGAATCTCTATGAGATGGAGACCAGCCTAATCTACATAGCCAGCTGGTACTACAGAGAGAGCCTGTCCCAAAAGAAGAAAAAGGAAAAAAGAACCTGCAAATTGCCCAAATAAAGTTCTTCATTCTCACATAAGTTTAACGTTAGCATTGGTGAAATACAATACTGCACAAAGCCTAAAAAATGGAAACATTTATTTAAAAATTTAAAAACATATTTCTTATTCTCCTTGTTACTCTGTGTGTTAAACACGAGAGTAGCATATCATGAAGACAAGATGATAAGAGACAGGTCATATTACAATTATTTCTAGACTTACTACATTACACTATCACTCTGGTTATGACATGAAATCCTCAAAAAATAGTAAAATAAAATGCATTTTCTTAAATGGTTATTTTTGTCTGGAAATTTGTTTAAGGAAAGTCATTGTTTTTAAATTTTAAAATTTCTAAAGAGGAAGACTTAGAAGAGAGCTAAGGAAATGTTAAGTAAAATGGAAGCATCTGTGTGAAATAGAGTGTAAGATAACGTTTGAGAAACTGGCAGGCACACTTCTTACTCTGTGCTTCCTGTACTAGGTAAGTATTTTAGAGGAGTACGTTCAAAATATTCTTTGTGGCCAAATTTAAATTTTGAATTATTTGTGCTTGCTCATTCCCTTTTCTTTTTTGATTCGAGAACGTCACTACTAAAATTGGGGTCCTTATTTGCAGCTTTGCATTCAATGGCTGTGATTTTATTACATGTGAGCAAATCAAGCACTTTAAAAGCACAGTGTAAAAGAAAACGCTCCAAAATGTGTGATATAAAATTTCTAAACTGTATTTCAAATTTAAATTGTATTTCAAAGTGAACTCAATTTTATTATTCATTAATCTTATTTGATTTTGATTTGTTTATGTTCTCAAATATATCTATACTGATTAGGGGTCTAATTCTAACATATCATGGCATAAAATTTTCATAATTAATGTGAAAATATACTTTATAGCCATTCAAGAAAAAGTCTATGATCATAAAGCATCTAGTTAATCAAGAAGATAAAACTGAAAAGATAATTCCTACAAGTTTTTTAAACAATACTAGTGTATCATTTACAAAAATAAACATAAGAGAGCTGGAGAGTTGTCTCAGCAGTAAATAGCACTGGCTGCTCTTGAGGAGGACCCGGGTTCAAGTCCCAGCACCCACATGGCAGCTAACAATTGTCCTCAACTCCAGTTCCAGGGAATCCTGTATCTTCTTCTGCCCTCCATAAGCATTACATACATGTAGTGTCCTTACTTATATGCAGGCAAAACACTCATACAAACAAAATTAAAATGAATAAAGATACACTTAAAATTAGTATTTAAAAATCTAATAATTTCCTTTTTACAGGACCCATAATCCTGCCTTTTATGCTCAATGCACTAATCCAAAATAGATAAGCAAAATTTGTAATGGCCTATTTAAGCAAGAAGTACCTTACTATTCAATAAAATATGTGCAATAAGACCTAAGTTGTTTACTTTTTAAAAATTTTTCTCTCACAAAATAACCAAGGTAGAATTCAATTATTTTATGACAGAAATAATCCTTATACTCTCCTAGAAGTGACAATAGAATTTGCTTCTGAAAAATAAACTACATAAATTTTAATCTTAGTAAGATGTGCATACAACTCAAAAATTTAACTTTAAGCATCAAGGAATAACTTTACCACTGGGAACCACTACTTATCAAAATTGCCAAATTTTTGCATCCTGATATATTTTCATATCCAAAAATGACAGTGATATTATCAAGCCATTCACATAGATGCAGAAAGGTATAAAATCTGCAAATCCCTTAAGAGTACAGGTCTTTATGTGCATGGTTACATTCATGGTGGCCTACATCATATCATTCATCTTATTAAATAGTTTTAATTATATTTCACCTTAAATAGGTATTATATAGATAAAATTATATGATACATACAAAGCAATGTAATTTTAAAGTATTCTTTTTCCTCAATCTGAAATAAAATTCCATGTCTAACCTGATTAAAGATGTCATAAAGTGGAATAGATTAAATTCATATGATCATAATTGTCTATGAAACTTATCTTTCCAAATTGATGTACTTGCTAAAAGGTATTCATCTCTCTTAAATAAATACTCTTGGTAAATTAACAGTGTTAAAGGTAATGTGTACAGTACTACAAAGCTGTAGTCACAGACTGATCCAGTTCATGGTTGAAGTCAAACACTGAGGCCAGACGGACAGAGTTTTACATCTTTTCCTCCTAGAAGAATTAGTTCAGTACACCCAGAGTGTTTGTGGCCTTTTCAAAGAAAATAATATGATGAATAATGAGAACTGACTATATTTAATCAAGTGCATATTTTCACAGACATGAACCTCATAATATCAAAATTATACCTGAATAAAAGTTCAGATAATATAAATGAAATATATTGCATAAATTAAACTTATTGTATAATTCTCTAATAAGCTTGAGTACTCATCAGAACTTTCCCTCAGATACTTATGAGTATAAAATCAGAGCCATTTACTCAGGAATCGCAACTTTTGAAGACTGAGATACATGTGATGGCAAATACATGAATGTTGTGGATTCCACAAGAAAGACACTGAAATAGAGAAAGAAAAGGTTATTTTCAGTTGCCCTGAAACAAAATTTAGATGACAAAATACTCTTTTGTACACTTCTTCATCACCTGTAAAAGATATTCAGAATCAAAATCAAAATAAGCTTCAGTTCATAATGCCCATGTGTTCTTATGCTGCAACACAAAGCAACATTTTGTGCATACTACTACATCAGTATGTTACTGCCAGGGATGTGGCCTGGCTATTAGAACAATAGCCTGCCAAAAGAAGCGAGGCAAAAGAGAAATATTTGGAAGAGAAATAAGTAATGTATAATATTCTTTTATATAGAAAAGTGAATGCCCTCATACATGTAATGGGTCATGGATTCAACCTGAAATGTCCATGGCAACCTCATGCTTTCAATACTTATTCCTCAGCTAGAGGTGTTATTTTGGCAGCCTATGGAACTTTTGGGAGGTGAGACACAGCTGTCAGTGGAGGCACGCCTTTGATTGTCCAGTCGATGGTTCCTGTATAGCTCTTTGCTTCCTGGATACCATAGTGAGAACTGCCTGCCATCAGCTCCTTCCAGCAGGAACTGTGTTTCTCTGTTCTGACTTATCCATCTACATGGACTGAAATGTTGTGAAACTATGAAACCAAATGAACTACTCTCTTCTCCAGCTGTTCATGTATTTTTTGTAAAAAAGAATTAAGAACAATGATTACAAATACAATAATGAATTTTCATAGCAAACAACATGAAATCATGAATGACAGTTCAAACCGTATTCCAAAAAATAAATAGGAAATCACACAGAATGCTTGATATATAGACAGAGTTTTACATATATCTATTTATATTTTTCAAAAGGATAAATGTATTGTTCAGGCTCCAATGACAGATATGAACAGCTAACTAATATGTATGTTGCTGCCAGGGATGTGGCTTAAAAGCGTACACAAAATCGAAAACAGTGAAAATAAAATATCAGGACAATAGAAACTATAATAAGTTCTAGAAAGACATAGCGATTCAGTACTTCCTGTATGCTAATACCCATCACACAAAGTAACAGATATTCCTTAAAGTGTTGGTATGAGACAAGGTACTGGATAGTAGAAACATGAAGAGGTTTATCTCCCATGTTTTCCATTGGCAACATTAAAAATAACATCCAGTCAAACTGCCCTCCAAGAAAAGGAGAAATTAAGACAGAAAGAATTACAGAAATATCTTATAAAAACATTAATGGAGTATCTTTCAGCTTAATCAAAAGGTAATAGAAACTACGTGGAGAGAGCTTGGTGTCTTTTTATGTAACTCTAATCCCTAGTACAAAAGATGTAGAGGTAGGAGAATCATGAACTCAAGACTATCCAGAGCTACGTAGCAAGACACTGTCTCAAATAAAGCAAACAGGAAAAGAGAAAAGCACAGGAAGAAACAACGTCCACAAGAAAAGTTAACTTTATAGATAAATACCTAAAATAAACACATCATAAATGATTTTAAGCAAATTTATATTGTCTTTTCTCACTTGAAAAGAAACAAGGGCACCATACTGAACATAAAATAATACAAAAATCTGTATGTTATAATGCATATTCAACATTGTTTTAAATCCAAGTACTAGTTATAATTGTCAGGGAAATTATTAAGAAAATGATGAAGCACTTCCAGCCAGTGCCAAGCAATGGGCATCTCTCGGTACAACTGGCATAAGTGCCACAAGACTGGGCACAAGAGAGCCTTACCACAAGAAGCAGAAGTATGAGCTTGGGCTGCCTGCTGCCCACACTAAGACTGGCCTGCGCCGATAACACACAGTTGGAGTTCAAGGAGGCAATAAGAAGTACCATGCCCTGAGACTGCATGTGGGGAACTTCTGGGGCTTTGAGTGTTACAGGCACAAAACAAGGATCTTTGATGTTGTGTACAATGCATCCAATAACGAGCTGGTCCAAACCAAGACCCTGGGTGAAGAACTGCATCATGGTCATTGACAGCATGCGGAACCGACACTGCCCCTGAGCTGCAAGAAGGGGGCCAAGCTGACTCCTCAGGAGGAAGAGATTTTAAACAAAAAGCAATAAAAAAAAACTTCAAAAGAAATGTGATGAAAGGAATAAGAATGGTAAAAATCAGCAGTTTTCTGAAGGAGCAGTTACAGCAGGGAAAACTTCTTGTCTGCATTGCATCAAGACTGGGCCAGTGTGGTAGAGGATGGCTATGTGCCAGAGGGCAAGGAACTGGAATTCTACCTGAGGATGATCAGAGCCTAGAAAGGCAAATGAGTCATCTTAGCTCATGTAAAAAAGGTGCTTATTCTGTGTTTAAAAAAAAGGAAAAGAAAATGATGAGAAAACATAACTTAGAAATTAAATGTGAGCTCCACAACTATTTACAATTAAGTCACAAACTCAAGCAGTAATAGAAATTATAAGAAACCAATGAAATTATAAGACATACGGAGAACTAGAATAGCTAGTATCAATGCTGCATCCCTGTAGTCCCATTTTTAGACAGGTAGAGACAGAAAGATTATCAATTCAAGGACACCATGGAATCCATAGTGAATTGAAGATCAGCCAGAGCTACATAGCAAGATACTATCTGCACTAAAAAAATGGCACAAATAGACTTACAGGAATCAATTATGTTATATCTTTGTTTATGTGTGCCGGTGTGAGCATATATGTGCACATGTGTGGGAGTGCATAGCTACGTGGTTACATTTATTTGCTCATATGTATGGAGGCCAGAAGAAGTGTCAACCTTGGGTGCTGTTCCTTAGGAGCTATCCACTGTTGCTAATCCATTTGTTTGTTTGCTTTTTTGTTTGTCTGTCTGTTTGGCAGAGACTCTCACTAGAACCAGGGCTCATGGATTAGAGTATGACAGCTGGCATGTGATCCCCAAAGATCTACCTGTCTCTGCCTTCCAAGAACTTGGATTAAAAGCACACCCCATCATGCATAGCTTTGCATAAGGGTGCTAGGAACCAAACACTGGTTATTGTGCTTATACAACAAAGACAATGAAATAACCCATTTTCTTAGCCTCAAATCCTGCTATATATCACATTACATTAACTGTAAGTGAATTAAGCACTAAAACCAAAAACACAGAGATTACCAAAGTGATTTAAATGAAAAACCAACACTGGATCCAAAGACATATGGCGAGGAAAAGGGGTATTAAAGAATTACCATGAAGCAATAATGGAAACAGAGGTAAATTGGCTATAATACCAGAGGAAACAAAATCTGAAGTAAACATTATTCTAACATTCGCTGCATTAACCTGAACCCTGGAGAAATGCAATGAAACTATAAAATACAGTTGTTTAACCTCTTTAGAAATGGATATAAGTTTATAAAATAAATGAATAGAACTCTATTCAACAAAATCTATGATAATACATTAAGGAAACTTAAACCTACAGTCTGTGGTATTTGGAAAACAATTTCCCCAAAAGACCAAAGAAACATCCTATCTTTTTACCTTCTCCTCCCCAATTCTGCAGGAGAGAAACTTTAACTACCTCCACCAGGAACAAATTGTTCTATTACAGGAGTAGCATTGCTGTGAGTAATGAGATCTTAATCGCCTTTGTCTCTGTTTTTAAGGTGGTGGTTCAATGCTGGAAGAAATAAGCCAAATAATTTTTCTGCTACATTTTGTCCCTCATCTCAATAAAGTTTTAGTATTCACCACTGCTCTTTGAGATTTGCAACAATTCCCATTCAGACAAAAGATGAAGAAAGACATTAGAAAATCAGCCAAGAAAGAGGAAGATCCAGTCTGTCTGGAGACAGGCTAAAAAGAAGGAAGACAAAGCCCAGGACAAGCTCAACAATCTCCTCCTGATTTACAAAGGTACTTACGATAAACTCTGTAAGGAAAATCCTAACTATAAGATTATCATTCCAGCTGTAGTATCTGAGATACTGGAGAGTAGCAGATTTTATCCAGTGGAACTTCAAGAGTTCCTTATTATGTCTAAAAACTGGTGTGCATGAGACTAAAGCTAAATGCAGATGCATAACTTTTTCTAGATTGGCACAAATCCACAGGAAGAAATAGTAAAAGAAATGATAACTAGGGCAATTTATATAACAAAAATAATATTTGTATACATGCTGTCTTTTGCAATTTGAATTGTTGTATCCCATCAAGCATTATATGTTGAGACTCTAACTCCTAGTACTTCTGAATGTGACTGTATTTGGACAAAAAAAACTTTATGTAGATGATTAACATTTATCTCTCCATGTGGATGCTAATTTAAACTGACTATTAAAAGTAGAGAAGTGGACCAGGGGAAATACATATTCCCCAATTCATAAAACTTACATTGTTTTTCTTTTAGTTTTATCAACAAAATGCAGGAATAACTGTTTAATGTTTCCACTGAAAAACTACATTCAGACATTAGCTTAATTTATGGGCACATTTTAATATTTATTAATAGCACATCTAAAATTCTGTGTTCTGTGTATTCCAATATAATGTTTAACAAAATAGTATGTAATTTTATCTTATGTACCTGAGTAATCAATTTAATGAGTGCAGTTGAAAATAAAACTTTGAAAGTCTAGATACAAAGTGATTAAAATTCAATTCATCAAATTTAATAAATTTATCAATTTATTAACTAACAAATTAGTAAATATTAAATACAAAGAATATTATATTATATTGAGACTCTCAGTTCCAATTCAGGTATTGAAACTGTGATTTCTGGAACTGGAACACAGTTACTAATTTAATCATCACATGAGTTACTATCTTCAACTTGTAAAGTTTTAGGAAGTAAATTAGTTGTCTTTTTAGAATAGCAAAAATTTATTGTCTTTTCATTGCAAAGCTTGTTACAAATTCTCAAGATAGACCCAATGAACACAGAGAATTAAATATGATGCTCTAAGGAAATAGTATTCTTTAACTGAATCAGTGTTTAAGTTTTGGGCATTAACAAAGAGAATGCAAATAGAAGTAAAGAACCTACCAATCATAAATTTTTTAAAGTGCAAGATTGCACAATATCTTGAATAAGCCTTTTAACAAAACTTATTGGTTTGACATGACCAAGTAGCAATTTTAAAAATTCATTTTACTTTCATGGTTTGGTGTACTTTGTCTCACTGTGCTCATAAGTTAAAGGAACATAAACACATACAACTTATTCTCTGAAGATTCATGTGGAAGAGGTAAAGAAAATTAGTATTTTTCTTAAGAGTATAGATAGTGCAATAAATTTACATTTCAATAGTAACTTACCAAAAATCTCCATCAGCTGAAAAGGGGTTTCTCACATTCACAGTAACTTCTTTCCATTGGTAACACGGAGCTTCGCATTTTAGAACATCCTGAAGTTAAAAAAAAAGCATATAATAATGACAAAACTCAGAATATCCTTAGTTATAAAATACAGGCTTAAAATTCTAGTAGCTACTTGAATATTACATATAATGAAGAAAATTCTGTCCCTCACAAGTATTTTCTTGTAACAATTCAAGTAAGATTAAAATATATTTTATTTCATATTTAACCTTTATAATGTGTTAATGAATAACCTATTTTTAAGAATGCTTCCTAAGCTGAACTCTTAATAACTAATTTTTATGAATGCTTATATATGATTTCTATTTCCAAGTAATAAACCATATGCATTTTATGTTTATATATACACACATATTCACAAATATATATATATATGACCTAAGAAAAAGCCATTTATATGTGTGTATATATTTGTGTGTGAAACTGTGTGAATATGGTTTGTATATGTTTATAGTGTGATGGTTACAATGACATAATTATGAGAGAATAAGGTAGAATATAAAACTTCAAAATAATTTGTAGAGAAATAAATTATAGAAATTTGACAGTTATCAGCAAATAATGTTCCTGTTTTATTTCTTCATTATTATTAAGCTGCTTCTTGTTGACCTAAGATGATTAATAGGCAGGCTGAATTTCATCAGAGTTACAGTAACACCAGTTGTCAATTTTTCTGTCCTGTAGTGAGGTTAATGGCAGGCTATAATCAACTATCTCACAGAACTACATGTGACAAAGTAGTACGCTACTTCAGAGAATTTATGTGAGAGGGTGGAGAGATGTGAACTCTGCTAAAGAACAAATGAAAGGATAACAACATATTATAGTTCAAAATGACCATCTCCTGTTTGGGAGCATCACTGTCTAATACATCAGTCTGTCCACTTGAGCATCCCATTGTTTCTACACATAACTGATCACCACATATTCCTCCTAAAGTTGCTGTTTCTAATTCTTCCTCTTGCCATTCACACTCAAAGGTGGATTTTTGTTCATTTGTAATAATTTATATAGAGGCATGGCAACAAACTTGTTTGCCTTTACCATGTATGCATGGTAGTAAATAGCATTCAAACAAAACAATGATTGTAAAAGTCTAGCAAACATCTTTCTGTAACATCTTTTTAGATATGAAGTTGTAGAACTCTGTGAATATGATTATCTTTCAATAAATTTCATCAGTAGCAGGAAACTTATAATGGATTTTCCCCACAGAACACTACAGATAAAGAATGTCAAGTCTGGAAGATGCGTAAGGTGCCTGCTACCAAGCCTGATGACCTGAGTTCAGTCTCCAGAACTCACATGGTTGAAGGAGAGGACTTGAAGAGAACTGACTCCAGCCAATTCCTCTGAACTCCATTGTGCTGCGGAATGCACACATGCACATGTGTATAAATGCACAAGCACAAAAAATATTTTATAAAAAATTTAAATATATTTAAAAATTGTTAAATGTCCCCATCAGACAAGAGAAAATTCTTCTTTGAATAAATTGTCAACTTTCTGTGCTACCCTGAAAAGTCTTGAATTCACAAGGTTTGAAAGGAAAAACATGATCTCAAGGATCAAGAGCTGAATAGAAAAAAATACACAGGAATAATCATGATATGATACTGCAAGGTCTGGGGAAGATGAGAAAAGGTCATAAAAAACAAGTAAAATTTACTTACAATTGCTTTAAAATTGAGTACTTCCCCCTTTAAAGCAAAAGCCACGGTACTGCCTCCTATTCCATCCTTTTGTTTCGAAATTAACAACAATGTAGCTTCAGAAGGATGGAGGAAGCGACTTAAGAATTTCACAGTGAGGACAGTTTGGTTTCTGTTTTATAAAAAAGAAAACATTTTATTGGAAAAGGATAAGTATATATTCAGTATAGATCACTGAGTGCCTACATCTCAAAATGTACTTACTTGTAAAAAAATTAAAGAGTTTTGAAACATGACACATCTATATAATCCAAATTTAATCTCCAAGTATACTTTTAATATATATATATGATATATAAGAATACATATTATATATATAAGAATCCATATATATATACACACATATATATGTGCACATTTGTGTGTGTGTGTGTATATATATATATATATGTACACTTTCTGGTACACTTTCTGACTTTCTGTTTTCAAATTCTCAGTCATGTGCTTGTTTTGGTTGCATAAATGAAACTAATAACAAACATTTTTGATTAAAAATAATGCCTAGGCCAGATGTGGTGGTGCATGCTCTTAATCCCAGCACTCAGGAGGCAGAGGCAAAGAGATCTCTGTGAGATTGAGGTCAGCTTACTCTATCCAGAGAGTTCTAAGTAAGTTGTGGCTACAGGGAGACCCTGCCACCAAAAACGCGAGCAAACAAACAAACAGAAGACAAAAATAATAATAAAAATACCTAATACTAAGTTTGAAAGAATAATTTCAATTCAAAATAGAAATAATGGTAGATAAATAGATCCAATATACTTCTAATTTCAGAGAAAATAAAAGATGGAAGAAAGCAATATATCCAGTTATTTAATTTTTAGTTTTGTATTATAACATGTAGTCTAGTGGGAAAGAATCTAATGCGGTGGAGATTCTATTTGCCAACTTGTAGAAAAATGTCAACAGCTAGCTCCGTAGCAACCATTATGACCATATTGGCCACATTTTCGCATATTAATTGAAGATGCTACAAGTCTTGGGTGGAAGCAACATGATCCTTTAGAAACAGAAGAAGTGGGCTTCATTAAGAGCTGCCACGGGAACATTTCTTCCATGTCTCGGTAGTTCCCCTTAAGAGTCTATCAGGAATCATATCGCTACAGCCCCTTGGGTTTGGTTAAGTTCTGAGGCTTGCTCCCTCACCCTTGAGAACAGAGAAAGTCTGTCAGAAGGTTTTGTGGGAGTATGAAATTTCCACCTCCTATTTCTGTAATCATATTCCTTGTTCAGCTTTGATTTCACCGTGTGCAAGGGACACACTGAAATCTGGCACATCTTGTTTTCATTTTTCATGTAATAATGAACTTTGAATCCAGAATAAGATCATTTTTTTTTCAAGTTGGCTCAGGCTTACAGCCTACCTTCACCCTGGCATGGTGATAAATAACAAAAATATTTTACCAACGATTATAGTCTGACCTCTAGCATTTTTAGCATTACACATCATATGTCAATTATTTTTTGTACAGTTAAGGTACATGTATTGATAATGGAGATGGGCATAGCTTCCCTTGTGTCAAGCCTTAGCCTTATTTCCAACATCGTTGTGAAATTGCTGTTGAATGGGTGAGATGAGGGACCAGCAACTACTAATCTAAATGAGCAGAGTGCAAAATCAATGAAAATATTCAAAATTGATTTTGTAGGGAAACTCACAGGCCAAATATAGCAGAAATAGTGGGATTTTTATACAAATGGATCTCACTAATCTCCTAAAAATTCCGTTAAAGGACTATTCAAGAAGAATCATGGATTAAATTTCATTGAAATTAAAGAGCCTTTCATATTGGAGAGTTTTCCTGAGCCTAGAAGCTCAAATTCTGCAAATTTCCTATGTGATTTAAAATTTTTCTAGATAATGCTTTAATGTCATTAAATAACTCCATTTATTCATTGATTCAATCACTTAAATTATATTTATATATATCTTACAATGTTCGTGGCACTATGTCAGTTTTATGAGACACAGAAATTATTTAAACACATAATATTAATGATATCCTGGACCATACATTCTATAGCACATGGCTGAATACACCACATCACCAAATACATTTTAAAATTATGGGGTTGGAAAGATGGCACAGTAGTTAAGAGAACTGGGTGCTCTTCCAAAGGACCAGGATATGGACTCCAGTACCAAATGGCAACCAATAACCAACTGAAACTGCAGTTCCAGGGGACGTGGGTCACTCTTCTGTCCTTTGTGGGTAATGCACACATGGGTGCATTTACATGCATGAAGGCAAAACACTCATCCATATAAAAGACTTTAAAGTGGTGAATTACGTATGTGCTTTAAATACTACATTCTTGGAGCATATGTACATTCATATATATCATATCTCAACCTCAATATGTATCTTATCCATACAGACACACTAAATTTCAGTATCAGCGCCTTAGAGAAGTAGTATTTTTAAACCTTTACTTATTTTTGTTCCTCATTCGTTCTTGGCATCTAAGTTTTCTATTTATATACAATATAACCTATGCACTACAAAATTATATTTAACATTAGCATAGACTAGATGCAGTTTTATATTACATAAAATATATAAATATTGTATTGTATTATAAATATTGTATTGTATTATATAAATAAGGACTTGATTATAATGCTATCTTTATAGGCAATATACATGCAAAATATATTTTTATTAATTAAATACATACATCTGTTAGCATCTATATATTATTTGAACTGTTCAGTTTGGGTTTAGTTATTGTTGTTGTTGTTGTTGTTTCACAGAAGCAGAGACTTCTTGTAGTTTCATCTGGCTTAGAACTCACTATGTACACCAGGCTGGCCTCTATCTCACAGAAATCCTCCTATCTCTACCTCCCAAGTGCAGGGAATAAAGGCTTGTGACCCCAAGTCTGGCTTTTATTAGAATTGTTTTGTCCAACTTAAAGAAAAACCTCAGAAATATGAAATACAGTTTCTGAATGAAAATTTTTATTAAATATCCATATGTTTAATATAATCAAAATCACTTTTTAGTAGTCTTCATAAATATAAAAGTCTGTTTGAAAATTCAATAAAATATTTTCTTAAAAACTCACTTTGGAGAAATTGTGATAATATTCCCTGTCTGGCCAAGACAGAAGTCAGTAGCATCTCTTCCAACAATTGTAGCTGTATACACTAAGCTTTTCAAGCTTGGGTTTTTCACTAGTATCTGTGTAGAAGTAGAAGATAAAGAAAATAATGAATTGTAGAATTCTGCATGTACTATTTCTGTTTTAACAAGGAAAGTTATACATTCTGTTCATGAAAATACTTACCTTAATGTATACTAACCAAAAGGTACATGACATTATTAGACCCTTTTGTGTTTGACAAGCCTTTGCTATATAGCCTCGGCTGGCCTGGAACTTATACATTTCTGGTTTCAGCCTCCTAAGTGATAAGATCACAGACATGAACCACCATGTCAGCCTAAGATTTGGTGTTTAATGACAGTACCTCTGTCAATCTATATAGTTTATCAAGTTGAAGAGGAATCTTCTAGTAATGGATATGACAGCTTGGATTTAATTTTTATTTGAAAGTCTAATTTTTTGAAGATTTTAAATAAAACTAACATAATTTAATTCCCAAAAAAGGGTAGTCTGGTTGTTCAGTGAAGAAAATAATGCTATCAGTGTAGAGGGCTAGGACAGACAAGATTGTGGCCTGGTATGTAAGCAGGAGTTTAGGCACTGGCTGTCATTTTATTCCTGAACACAAAATATAGAGAACATTAGAGAATTACTTTATTATTAGAGGGTATATGTTTTGAAAAATGTAAATGCACACAGGACTTCTAGAGCATGCTGAAAATATCAAGAAAATAATACACCCTTATTTTTCTGGTTGTGAACCTGAGCCTTTAACAGCTATGCCAGCTGTCTAGCACTTTCTAGACATCATAGGCTAATGAAAAAATAAACCTCAATGCCAGGATGAACTCATTCTCTAGAACCTGACTGATGATCAGGGAATCTATAGACCCTCAAATAATACTGGCCATTGAACATGCTCTTGGTTACCCCACGGAACTGTATGGTAAGATCCTAGTGTTGAAGACACTACATACATGAGCTATAGAACTTAACAAGGGGAAATCGAGCTGGAGCTGACTTCAAAGGCTCTTCTCTACAAGTTAGCATTCATGCAAGAACCAGAAAGAGACAAGTAATCATCATTCTTATCCTGTTCTAAATCCAGTGAACTATAATAACTAGCCTGGCAAGATATGCCCACCAGTGCAATAGTGGCACAAATATTATGGGAGCAACTAATAGCTGTTTAATTTAATTTAAGGTCCACTTCCTATGATGGATCCCATATCTGACACTGATAGTCTTAAGAACTTGAGGCTAAACATGACACAGACATAGGGGAAAACCTAATATGAGTTTTCTACTAAACAGTTATGGTATTAAACTGACTATTCATGACTGGAACCCAAAAGCTCCTCCAAAAAGCTGGAGTTGATTCATGGCGAGTGTGGGAGACGTGGAGCACACTAGGAAAAAGGGTTGGAGCCGCCACCATATTGACCACAGGTGAACGGAGAGCCTGGAAGATTCTGGGCAGGAGGCAGATCGTGCATGCATTTCAAATATGGAAAAGAAAAGGCCTATAAGAATCCATGTCTTTGTAAGTCATCTCTCCCAAATGTCATATAAACTATGAAAAATCCAAATAGAATGTGTTATGTCAGTTTATCAATTCACATCAGGACCAGAGACCCTGAGTGGGGGTGGGTAGCAAAAAGAGAAAAATTTAGTGAAACAATGACTTTTTGTTTTACCCATAGATTAATGCATCTATGGGTAGATGGGTATTAATGCATAAGACAAGCTTCTTATGCAACAGATCATAATTAACACAGAAACACACAACTGGCCAACTTGCAGAGAACAAGAAGCTTCACAATACTTATCTCTGAACAGGATACTTATATTAAGCTTTGCCTCTCACAGCTCAGGGATCATTGTGGAAGAGGGGGTAGAAAGATTTTAAGAGCTCAAAGGTGGTAGACAGCCACAAAGAAACAGTTTTCCAGATATCTGGTCAGTTACTCATATGAACTTATGGCAATGATGATGGCATGTACAGGTCACATGCAAGCTCAAATCAGAAAAAAATTCTAGCAGAGACATGAAAAAGTGGGTACAAATCTCCAACCGCACTTAAGGAGACTGTGACAACAGATGGCTAATAGGAGGATCAGAGAAAGTATCAAGGTAGGACTCTTGGTAGGTTAGCCAGGCTCCTGTGGATGCATCCACAATGAAGGACATTCAGAGACACAAAGCAGACTCTATAG